TGTGTGTGTGTGTGTGTATATATCTCATTTAACTGCATTTGTGTGAGATGTTGCAGCTGTCCACTATTCCGAGAATCAGGAACCAGACCCAATATATATATATATATATATATATATATATATATATATATATGTATGTGTGTGTGTGTGCATATGTACCTGTCTAGACCTCAAAATGAGGACCATTTCTCCAAATTCACCATCAAATTGAGGATCAGTTGTTGCAAAGTGGTTTAGGGTTTGGGCATAGAAAGGGCTGGAAATGACTAAAAGTCAATGGGAGTCAACACATGTTCCTTACTATGACGTCAGCATGAGTATGTGTGTTTATATGTGTGTGTGTATATATATATATATATATATATATATATATATATATATATATATATAACTTTATAATATCAAAACAGATTGTGATTAATATGATGATATGCTACTTTTTAACCAGTTAAATTGTTTAAGCTTTAAAGCTTTTAAAAAAAAGCTTGTAAGCTTTAAAAAAAAAAAAAAAGCTTTTGATACATCAGCTTTAGTTGAAACACGCTTTTGTAATTGATTAAGTAGATCTATAGATATGTATATATTGCCTTAAATTTCTTCTTTTTTTTTCCTTTGACACAGAAATAATTTTAATTATAATTTTTTCTATCAAACTATTATCTGCATAAACACAGAAATAATTGCATTTTATTCGATATATTGTTATATAATAATATTCAATAAAACTAGGATTAATCTGGATCTGTGTGAAAAGCTATCATCCCTTAAGCCTTATAAATGGTTGGCTCTTTGCAGCTGCTTTATTTCAGTGAGCATGAATGGTGTTAATGTGAGGTCAGTCACACCACAACTACTCAACTGGAGGAAAGTCCACAGGTCTGATGAAGGTCTGCTAGGCCACTCCTAAACCTTATGCGTAATATTCACTGTTGCATAGCCTAAATACAGGCTGCACAGTGGTTCTGGGTCTGATTCCTAGGGTCTTTCTGCATGGAGGCTGCATGTTCTCCTTGTGCATGCGTGGGTTCTCCCGGGTACTCCAGCTTCCTCCCACAGTCCAAAAACAGGACTGATTGGCTTCTCTAAATTCTCCTTAGGTGTGAGTGTGTGTGTTAAAAGAGGTAGTTTTGTTATTTAAAGGGGATTTTGTTGCGATATGGTTTAATGTATTTGAAAACTTAAATGCGAGTGAAAACTTTATTTTAAATCAAAGGAGGGCCCATCTAGAAAAGTTTGGGACCCACTACACTAGATCCTCAACAGTTTTCTCAGGAGTTTCTGGTTTCATCAATAAGTCAGTTCTTGAAGGATGAAGCAGCTCATTGGAAGCTCCAAGACATACTCTCAGCAGAGCTCTAATTGGGCTTATTAGTTTTATGGCCACTGTGGGTCAGGCGTCATGTTCACTATGATGGAGTTTTTTTTTACCTTGCAGCTCTCCTATAATTATAAGCTCTAATGTCACTCCAGCCCGGTTATGAGTTAAGTCATGAGCTCTGACCTTAGTGCTTTAGCCTTTATTCCATGTTTTTCCTGGCATATAACCTGGAATGACGTTAACGGGCAAGTGGATCTCATCGCCTTGATGGCTTTAGTTCTCATTTGTTCCAAATTGTCTTTACAACATGATGTGTTTCTTATTGGGATATTTTCATCTTCTTGATTATATTCAGTTTCCACAAAAGGGATATAATTTCATCTATTAAATACTTTCTTATACATACAGGAGATTTTTTTTTTTGATGATCCTTATCCAAGTGTCACAAAGAAGCATAAATCAGCTAAGAGGACGGATTTTTCACATTAATATTCAGACATGACTCCTGTTGAATGTTTCCATACTGCTACTATATATATATATTTATTTGAACATTTCTTTGCTTTGAAGATGGAGCACTAGTTTTAGATCATTTTACAAATTAAAATTCAAAGCAGGTTTGAATGTATTGTATTGTTTAACACAAAGTATTTTATGCATTCATGTGGAAAAGAGCATAGATTTAAAAATGTCTCAGTTTTGCATATTAGACCTTTTAAACTTGAATGTTGCTTAGTCGCTGTAATTTGAACACAAAAAGTCAAAAAAGGACCAAATGAAAAGTCTGCACAGGAGTTTCCCTAACAGCTGTTAAGATATAATCCTGGGAACGCATAAGGAGGGTGGAGCCACCACCTTCTGGTCCTACGTCTTGAACCTGCCTCTGTCCAGCAACTCCATGGTCAGCTGGAAGGTCTGCTATCTGATTCACAAAGTGCTCAGAGAAGGCCACAGGAATGTAAGTTAAAGATGATTAGCTCCTGCCCCTCGGTGTAGCTTCCGTTCCAAAATAAAGATGTCTAACGTCACCCGTCTTCTGACCCACAGGTTATTACAGATTCTCACAGACACAGCCGCAGCATAAGAGACATGGGAGTCCTTTGGGTTAGTAGATGCAAACACAAGACACGTGATTCTGTTTCTCTAAAAGGTCAAATTTTTAAGTATTTTTTAATATGAATTTCCATCACCAGGTTAAATGGAATCAGAAAGTGCCCTCAGTCATCAAATCCTTTATTTAAAACCTTTAATTTCACAAGAATGTTTGTAAAAGCACGAAAGATTAAAGCTGGTTGCTGTGAGTGGGTTGTTTTTAAGAAACCGTTAAAACTAATGTTTTGTTTCTGTTTCCCCAGGGAAACCTGCATGATCGATACGGTCACATTGTGGCCTTGTCTGCTAAATACCTCCACCTAAAAATGGAGTTTCATGCAAAGGTAACGTCTCTCCTCCATCTAACTTTTTACATGGCATGCTTTAAAATGATGTGAAGTTGAAAATATACTAAAATACACGTATTAGAATTCATTTAGAGTTTAGCTTTTAATAGAAATGTGACTTTTATATTAATTTGACCCTCCCCAAACCCATTTTTTATGTCTCTCTAGTGGTTATAAAAAGTTTATATTTTAGATGCATGATGGTACATTTCAAAAAGAGCTTTAGAACAGGGGATCCCAGACCTTTCCACCTCCCAATTAGTGTTAGCCTCTGGCTTTCTCCTTTGCAAACCCACAAACTAACCTACTGAATACATTTTTAAAAATGTTTTTTCTTATTTTGTTTACAATTTTATAATATTTAAATGTATTTAACATGATAATGTTTTTAATATAATAATGCTTTATTTTATTCCCAATGAAAAACACATTTTCCAGCATAAGAGGAAAATAATATCAAAGTAGGGCTGCAGGGTTTACTGTCTGTGAAGGACAGGAGTTTTCATTATCATGTTTCCTTCTTTAAAGCTTTAAAGCCAGACTCACAAAAGCAGATTGTTGCAAAGGAAGAAGGTATTATTGTCATTACACGGTCAGACGGAACAAGTTAGTCATCCCCACTCGATATATTAC